AATACAGAAAAAACAGTATTTTTTTTTTTTTTTGGTCCTGAGAAAGAACATTTTGAAATGGATTACCTACCTTCCCCAGGAGTAGAATAAACTAATTTTTCCTCTGATGTTCTTGGACAGCAATACTCATGAGGAACTTCCTGTTCTCCATTATTGGGAACTGTTTTCCATTTAAATAAACTTTGGTATCTTTCATGCATGTTAGGACCTGCTGTAGTATCACAGAGTGAGGAAGATGTATGTATTTTGTTGACTGCAACTGTTTTCAAATCTTTTTCTGTCTCTATTTTTATCCCCTCAGCATCATTTTTTTCTCCAAAGTAATTTTCTTGCCCATTGTTTGTTTCCATGGTGCCTAGAGTTTCATTTTCCTTACTAATTTCATGAAACATGTGAAGTTCTTTAAGTACTAAATCAAATTTACTCTTCATCTCAAAATCTTCTCCTATTGTCAGAGCTTCTGTTGGTAAACATTTAGCAGTTAAGTCCTGAAAACATTCCTTGTTCCCTTCACTCAATCCAGTTTCAAATTGGTGACTATCATATACTGTAGAGTCATTCTTCAGATGACAATGCTTTAAATTAGCTAACTCACTTTCTTGCGAAATACTCTCGTATTCATTTCCATCAGCTATGTAATTTTGAGTAGCATATTTAGTTTCTTCCACGTTTATTTTCTTACTCATTAATGAAACTGACTGTACAGAAAACATGCTATCTGTCTGAAAAAGGCTATCTTTCTCTTCCTTTTCTACTTTAATATCTTTGGGAACCACGCAACTATTTGCTAAACTTTGTGCTGTGACTTTTACTTCCTCCTTCAAAATTAAGTCATATTTTTTTCCCTCTATTTCACTTAGCAAGTTCCCAAAATTTAGTTTTTGAGTTATTGTCATTGTATTGGTCTGTTCGCTATGTATTATGTCATGGCTTGCTGGTATGACCTGTTGTCTAACATTGCAGAAATCTTCAAATATGCACTTAGAATTAAAGCTACCAATCTTACTATGTTCCTGATTTCTTTCAGTATCCAAATCTTGGTTGTGCATATTTACTTCACAATTTTTTTCATTAAAATATCCATGGTTGTTCCACATAATATGAGGACCAGACTTAACATGTCTTTTAATGGTATTAGAACTACAGTGAGCCCAATTTTTCACATTCTTGAGTTGCTCAGAGCAATTCATATTATTATAAGTAATTTCTTTTATCAAAGAAATTTCTTGCATGTCATCAAAGGCCATTAAAAGAGGAATTTTTTCATATGTTTCAAAAATTGGAGAACATATATTTTTAGTTGTCATACTAAAGGAATTGATGTTTTTTTCCTTAGATCCTTTGAAAATTTGTTCAGTGTTAAACAGCTTTCTTTTCTTTAGCGTAGGTTTTACGTTATCTTCTAATAGTCTTGAAGAATTTAAAATCTTTACTAGATATGTAGTATGATTTTCCACCATAATACTTTTTGGATAATTTAAATACACTATCTGTTTGAAAATGCATTCCTCTTCTAATCGAAAATCATTTTCAATTCTTGTTAAAAAGTCAAAGTTACTGAGCAAAAAAGCTATGTTGGTTTTCAATACGGTATTTAAAGGTTCTGAAACACTGTTTTGTAAATATATGCTTAAAATGTCATTCTTTATATTGATATTCATATTTCTGGTTATTAGACTTTGAACACTAATTTGCTTTTTGCATTTCAAAATTTTATACCAAGTTAAAATACTATTATCCT